CAGGTCTCTGTGAGTTCAAGGCCAGCCTGGTCTACATAGTGAGTTCCAGGACATCTTGGGGCTACAGAGAGACCCTTTCTCAAAAAGACCCCAAAAAAAAAATGGGTAATAGGAGTCCCTATCTGGGTGATGAATTTGCACCAAGGGATATCTGGGTAAAAAAAATGTTTGACTCAATAGGACTTAACATGTATGGTGGAATACACGAGGTCCAGCGTGGGGGTGGGGGGCCATGGATGGGGGAGGGGTCTGAATTTAATTAAGAACTGCTGTATGAAATGTACAAAATCTCAATAAAATTTTTAATGGATAATAAGAAATAGAAATTAGCCGAGAAATACCAAATTCTACCAAAGAAATGAAGAATAATTGTGAAAGGAAATTCAAACGGAAAATAAATGAAGTTACAGAAGAAAGAAAGGACCATGGGAATGTTGCCGCTGCCACTTGAGAGACTGTACGCATGAAGCCAGAGGAACTTACTGAAGGGAGCCCGTCAACACAAAAGAGGAAAGTGGCTCATAAATAAGTGTGGCCATAGAAGAAGTCTAAAGATGGTGTCTTGGGCAGATTCACACTATTGATATAGCTAGAACATACAAAGTAAAAATAAAGATTAAGGAGTGAGCTCCTACACGCAATAAAAACTTCCCAATATTAATGGTAGAAGAAAGCCTCTGGCGAGATGATTAGCGAGTGGCAGCAGAGGGGCTACACAAGAAGGGTGGGAAGTGGGCAGGAGGGAGGGAAGGAGAGAGGAAACGATAACCACCATTCAGCAAGATGCTCAGAGGAGACAGGTAGAATCTAGTGCGGATGAAATAAAGATATTGTGGAACATGGATACTCCCAGTAGATGGGTAAAAAGGGAACAAGACGAACAAAGGAGAGAACCAGAAATTGAGATGGAGTGGGGGGACATGGAGGAGTTGGTGGGGGGCTGGGAGGGATGGAAATAATGCAAATACTCATGTATGAAATTCTCAACAAATAAATATTTTTAGTATTATTGAGATTTTGTGCATTTCATACAATGGCTCTTAACCAAATTTAGACCCCTCTCCCCATCCATGCCTCCCTCCCGGACCTCATGCATTCTGTCATATATATCAAGTCCTATCCAGTCAAGCATTTGTACCCAGATGTCCTTTGGTGAAGGTTGATCCCCTGGAGTCTAATCAGCCTATCTAGAGATCTTAAAGATCTACTCTCTTTTTAAAAGAAGGGAACGAACCCTTGAACCAACTGTTCCATTGCCTTTGTCAGACCAGTAATATCTTCAGAAAGTCTTACCACAATGCAGAAAAGGTACACAGAGGGCCCTTCACAACCCCCATTGGCACCAATTTTTGCTCCTGGACAATCCTGCAGTTATTGTAGACTGTAACCCTGGTTGAATTTTCAGGGAGTGCATGTCATTACACTGCTCTAGAGGAAGAACTCTGGTCCTGCAGTGTCCTTTCCTACCTGGGCTGTTGCTACAAATCACCACTTTGTAACTTCCTTCCATGCTGTTAAGGTGGCTCTACATCACCCCTGGAAACTAACAGATGCACTCTGCACTACACAGGAGCCCTGCTCCCTTGTCATGGAAACCGCACCAAACATACTAGGACTCCTCTAGCCTAACTCTACCTCAGCATGGCCCATAGAGATTGACACACAGTCCTGCCCTTTTTCATGTGTGCTGTATTACACCTGCCTGAGCCCACTAGGTAGGCATCCAATCTCACAGCTTTGTACATCATATCCCCCCGGGCTGCTAGAATATCCACCTGACACACCCTGGAAAGAGAAATGGACTTTATGACCCTGTTACCCCATACACTGTATCTGCAGCCATTGGGTACAACTGAAATAATTATATGAAAACCATAGCTACAGTGGCCAACTATAATCAAAGACAATGCAGCCTACTAAACTGACACCCTAAGACACGTCTTCAGAAGAAAGTCGCCCTGTGAAATTGGTAAATACAACGCATCCACCAAAAACATAAATATCAACATAGAGAAACGAGTATGAAAAGTTGAGGGGATCTTGATCTATCCAAAAGACTACAATAACTCTCAACAGACTCCAGAGGAGGGAAAGTCGACAAAATGCCAGAACGAAAAATCAGAACAATTATTCCAGAGATATTTAAAGAGATACTAGAAAATTCAAACAATTCAGTGAGGTGAGTAAATCAGTGAAATGAATAAGAAATTCAACAAAGAGAGAGATCATCAAAAGGGAGCAAAATTAAACCTTGAGATTCAAGACCCCAGTGAGTCAAATGAAAGATATAAATGAGAGCATCCACAATAAGCTGGATCAAGCAGAAAAGGGAATTTCTGAATTTAGAGATAGGTCTTTTAATATTGCCCAGTTAGACTAAAGAAATAAAAGGTAAAAATAATTAGAAAGAACAAAGAAAGTTTCCAGGACTTATGCAACATAAGTAAGTGAATACGTCTTCAAATTATGGGGCTTTCAGGAGGTAAAGAGGAGTAAAGCATAGAAAACCTATTCATGTAACAAATGAGTTCCACTTCCACCCATTCTCCTGAAAATGTTAGGATTTCATTTTTCTTTATGGCTGAATAAAATTCCTTTTGCATAAGTGCCACATTTTATTTATCCATTCATCTGTGATAGGCATCTAAGCTGACTCCATTTCTTAGCTATTGTGAATAGTTCAGCAATAATCACAGATGTACAAGTGTCTCTGTGGTAGGACTCAGAGTCCTTTGGGTGTGTACCCAGAAGTTGTGTATCTCAATCACATGGTAGTTCTATTTTCAGCTTTTTGAGAAACCTCAATACTGGGGGCTGGGAGTGTAGCTCAGTTGGCAGAGTATTTCCCTAGCAAGCACAAAGCCCTGAGTTGGCTCACCAGCACCACATCACATAAAATGGCACATGGCGGTACATATCTGGTAGCCCAGAGAACCAAGAGGTAGAAGCAAGAGAATCAGAAGTTCAAGGTCATCATCCTCAGTTACACAGTGAGTTCAAGGCCAGCCTGGGTTACATGAGACTTTGTCTGAATAAAGGAAAAGAAAAGAAAAAGGAGGCTGGAGAGATGTCTCAGTGGTTAAGTGCACTGTCTGCTCTTGCAGAGGAACTGGGTTCGATTCCCAGCACCCACATGGCAGTTGACAACCGTCTGTAACTACATTCCTGGGGGATCCAACACCTTCTTCTGACCTCCACAGGCATTGCACGACATGGGTGCATTTACACACATGCAACTAATACACATAAAATAACAGTAATAAAAAATAATAAATAAAACATTAAAATAGAAAATAAAAAGAATACCTGCATACCCACAATGAAATAGTTGATACTGTCCCTAATCTTGGAGAGATATAAGCATTCAGGTCCAGAATGCTCAAAGGACCCCAAATAGATTTGACCAAAACCGGTCCTTATTTACCTGTCATAGCTAAATTTCCAAATTCTAAAAAATAGAAACATCAATTCACATTTAAGTGCTAAGATTTCTCAGCAGAAAACTTACAGACTACAAGGGAATATGTGACCATATTCAAAGTTCTAACCAAGGCTATCATATTTAGAAATGCTATGAAGGAATGAAGCAGAACTAAAACGGTTTCCAAGACAAATACTAGGGACTCCACCTCCACCAGACCAGCCGACAGAATACACTTAAAGAAAATGGACACTGAAAGTAAACAATAACCAGTGTGAAAACTTGTAAA